ATCTGCTCGCTTGACCGCAGACTTACGGTGCATTTAGTACATTAATCTGAAGAGTTTCTGCTGCTGAAACATCATCACACACAAGTTTTGACCCTGTTGTGATTTCAAGCCACGCAAGAACACGGGCCTTTTAACTTTAACAAGTTTTTAACTTTATTGTGTTATCCTGGACTAATGAGTGTCACTACTTTTTTTGTCTAATAAACCAAATGATCAAACCAAACTGATGCCAGACAAAGCAGAATGCCAATAAATTCTGTTATTCCATGACTTTTATACAGGCATATGAATACTTACACATTTAATTTGCTCATATTTTAATTGAATGTACATCATATTAGTAACGCTATGCATGCAAACTGAATGATTTCACTCTAATTTTGTCTCTATGACATTGTATTTGGTTGAATATCAAAGTTTTGGTGTCTATGTGTCTGCTAATGAAGTAAATATTATAGTTTTTATTTTGAAGTTAAAAGATCAAATTAGACGTTTAGGGCAAGATGGGCTGCCAGAATCGGCACTGAAGCCCCGAGTGGCGTGTGGTTACCACAGACTGTATAAAAACATCAGGGTGGTTACTAGTGTTATTATTGTTTCATTTCATTTGTATTGTGATTAATGGGGTTATTATTCAGTATTTCCATAGATTAAGATGTACATTTCAGCAGTGCTTGAAGTGGAAAAAAAGATTCAAAATCAATAAATACATAATTAAATCATTTTTCATAATTTCCAATGTATGAATGTAATGCCGAAAGAAAGAAAGAAAGACATTTTTAGAGCATTTTTAATATGAATAAGCACCAATTAAGCTGCGATACCAAACAGGACCACAGGGAGGCACCTGCTGCTTTAAAGGGGTCATATGATGAGATTTCAAGTGTTCCTTTCTCTTTGGAGTATTACAAGCTCTTGGTGCATAAAGAAGATCTGTAAAGTTGCAAAGACTAAAGTCTCAAATCCAAAGAGATATTCTTTATAAAAGTTAAGAGTCAGCCACGCCTACCTAAAACGCCTCGTTCTAACACGCCCCCACATGTCTACATCACTATGTGGGAAGATTTGCATAACGCCGCCCAAATGTTCACGCAAAGAAAGAAGGCGTAACTTTTATTCTCGCTGTAGTATTGTTGCTGCCGCCGTCATGTCGTGAAGACGCTGTGTTTCATTGTGAAAGCGAAACTACTTTGTTTGGTCTTCCAAAAGAGGACACGACTAGAAATCAGTGGTTAAGTTGTATTTACAACACTGTTCCAGAACACTTCAACCCAAATATTCAGATGTGTGCAGCACATTTTATGGAGGATGTTTCCTGATCCTGGGAGAGTAGACTACAATGCTGTCTGTTCTGACTCACAGACTGTAAGTACGTTTTCATATTTAAAGGATTTGCCGCTGATGATTCAAACATGAGTTTTGAGCAGTGTAGAGTAGGGCTTGACTTGAGTCAGTTTTAACTTCTATTCACTGTGAATAAAAAATAATTTAGCTGATGCAGAGAGACATATAGAGCGGGGGAACCCCCCTCAATCCCCCCACCCTCTGATTACTATCATAACATAACGTGTTTTTACTTGGAAAACCAGCTATATTTTTCTTGCATTCGAATAACAATGGATAAACCTGAAACGATAGACGAAGGATTGGAGATGAATTTCATTTACAAATAAGGTAGGAAATGTGCATACTTTTAAATCAACACCTGCCACGGTGTTTCTTATTTGTCATCTGTGATCCCTTTTGAGTGTCCTAAAAACCGATGGGGGGGTCTTATCACTCAGCATACCCGGTTAAAAAAGTCACGGCTGGCCACAGCTATACGGATCCATTCAGAATGACTAAACCACTGACCAGCGCATAATCTAAAACACCTTCAGCCGGTATTCATGATCAAACACTCGTGATTTTAAGCCAAATACTCGCTGAAAAGAATAATTTACTGCCATCTGGACACGAGTCACTGGGGGGAGGTAACCCCCCAATAACCAAAACTAGCAAGTACAAGCACTTTTATTGTAGACTTATTTATTGTGGTAAATTTAGTCTAACTTGTAGAATTTATAAAGGAATGGATTTTTCCCAATAGATTTATATTACAAATGTGGCATGTTGTGGCTATTGTTTCTAAATGCACAGGCTGTTGTTTTTCATAACAAATGCTATATAGATTAATTTAAAAAAAGTTCACAGACTAGCATTATTATAACAAATGCTACAGTTAGGAACTATGGTACGTTTTCATGAGAGCAAGTACAAGTCAGAATCGAGAGCCATGTGTAAAAATGGGTTCTAATGATGAATGATGGATAAACCTGGCCTTTAGATATTCCAAGAGATGGCATAGATTAAATAATTACGAGCCTGATGAACTGTTAAGGAATAAGAACACTGTTAGACAATGTTAAGTTAGATTGACTTCCCATGGCAAACTATAGCCTATAAAATAGCCTACATTATATATCCTTTTTAAACAAGTAATTGTTTACTAGGCTATTACTTTATTGCAGTTATGTTATCAACCAACTTGTGTGGATGATATAGCAAATATAAACATATAAGCAAGCAAACAAATAAATAATCCTTATGAGTGAGCATGACCCGGTACTCCACTAACCGAAACTAAACCTTTGCAATAGCCCCTTTGACACACATACAGACTTTACTGATAAATTACCCGTAAGAGATCATGTGTGAACAGGAACTTTACAAAAATACCAGTAAAGTCATTATGGAGCTATATTTAGCTATTGCTGTGTGAAAGTGGCTTTATTGCTTTCATTGCTGCATTGCTGATCATGGTGCATCTGAGCTTCCCAATGAACACACACTCTAAAAAATGCTGGGTTAAATACGGACAAACTGGGTTTGTCCATATTTAACCCAGCATTTTTTAGAGTGCACCATCATCTCCATCCAGACATCCGTCAAGTCCCAAAATGCGTTTAAACAACGACAAACAAGGCGGAACAGCATATTATTCATGCGTCAAAAACAGCTGAATAACATGAAGCTTCATGCATGACAGCACTGCTGGTGGGAGGGGCCCCATCTCGTTCTTTGTGGGGGCCTCACAGATGTGTGCCGTTTATGCCAACCGCCATAAACACAGGTGCGTGCTTTGAGTTTTGGGGGCCCTAGGCAAGCGGTCCCTGGGGGACCCTTTCGGTTGAAATGAAATGGCGAGGGGTTTTGAAAGTGCATGCAACAGGAAGTAAGTGAAGTTTAGAGTTTACATGTGGAATATGTTGTTTTGCCAATAGAGAGCAAACGGCAAACGGTAAGTGACGTGCATTTCTGTAGCTGTTCAAAGTAAACTATTTAAAAATGTACACTTACACAATAATGCTTTACATTTAATTCAGTATACACAACCAGTCAAAAGTTTTTGAACAGTAAGATCTTGAATGTGTTTTAAAGAAGTTTCTTCTGCTCACAAAGGGTGCATTTATTTGATCAGAAATACAGAAAACGCTGTGATATAGGTTTTTTTTTTTTTTTACAATTTAAAATAACTTCTTTCTATTTGAATATATTTTAAAATGTAATTTATTCCTGTGATCAAAGCACTTTTTGGAAAGAAATGATAGAAATTAATACTTTTATTTAGCAAGCATGCCTCGAATTGGTCAAAAGTGATGACAAAGACATTTAGAATGTTAAAGATTTCTATTTCAGATAAATGCTGTTCTTCTGAACTTCCTATTCATCAAAGAATCCTGAAAAAATTATACTTAGCTGTTTTCAACATGATAATAATTTAAAAAATGGTTTTTGAGCAGCATATTATACTGATTTCTGAAGATCATGTGACACTGAAGACTGGAGTAATGATGCTGAAAATACAGCTGCGCATCACAGAAATACATTACAGTCTAACACATACTCACATAGAACACAGCTGTTTTACATTGTAATAATATTTCACAATATTTGTCAGGAGTAAGGACTGTTTGTGTGTGTGTTTTCTCCCCTTGTGCTCCATGACCTAGTTTTCCCTCTAGTTTGATTAGTGGTTTGGTTCAGGTGTGTCTAGTTCATTTTTAGGTTATGGCACAATTTCTGTCTATTTTTCTGAAAGCCATCTAACATTTCTTTTTCAGCTCCATTAGAAAAAGAGAGGGCAAAACGATCACCGGACCAGTGACGCTTCTTTTGGTTCCCTGATATGTGTTTATGCTATACCTTCATTCATGTAACACTGCCTCTTCTCATCATGAACATCATGTTTTGTATGGCAGCTTGTAATAACGCAGAATATGAAGTTAACGGGGAGTGTTGCCCGATGTGTGATCCAGGTAAGTCCAACTCTTCTTCTCTCATCACCACAGCCGTGGTACAGGCTTAGAACGGTCTCATCATTATTACTGATGATGAGCCCAACAACTGGAACAGACTCAAAAAACAATCTTTTAAAGGGACGGACCGAAAAACTAAATTCTGTTCTAATTTACTCACCCTTAAATTGAGTTCCATCTTCTGCTGAGATACTCCCACTGTACTTTTTTCCATTCTGTGGAAGTCAATGAGGACCTGCGACTGTTTGATTATCCACATTTTGTCTCCCTAATCAAAAATACCATTCTAAGGCATCATCATCTTGGTAGTATTTCAAGAGGAGACTTCCAAAAAGTTCTCTGTTGGGTGGCCTCCTGGAACAAAAGGCCACATAATGTATATCACTACAGACTTGATCTATAGTGAACATCTGGATGTGTTTTGAGTGTGTCAGACACCACTGCATTAACAAATATTAACATATATATACACAAAACATGACTCTAGTTAGTCTAGAGCTGGGTATCTGATTCAGTTCAGTTCTGATTTGAGAACGTTTGTTGTGTCATTGGAAATTCCAGCATAAAACAAGACACAGAATATAAGGAACATGCTTAATGTCGACGATTGACAGAAATATACTGCTTATGTAATTACAAATATACATACAAATATATTGCTAACTATTTATATTGTCTAGGAAAGTGAGTTAAGAAACATTGTGATCAGAATACAAGTACAACATGCGCTTCATGCCCTGCGATGACTTACACTAACTCTCCTAACGGATTGACAGAATGTTTGCCATGTTTAGTCTGTGACACAAGTGAGTACAAATTTGTTTCAAATGCATTGTAACTTTATTTGTTCTGCAGCTGACTTGCCATTGGCCGGTTTTCTACAATTGATATACATTTATTTCCTTTTTTGTCAAAGGTAATGCGCTGAGAGTAAAGCAGGCATGTACATTAATATCAAATACAGTTTGTGAACCTCTGTCAGGTTATTACTGTATAGACTTGCTCTCAAGCTGTAAAAAGGCCGTGAAATATTCAACCTGCTCACCCGGACAATACATCAACCAAACAGGTCAGTCAGTTTTTCATCATTCAAACAGCTTTAATATACATACATAAGGCTTAGATGTCATCTGAGAACAGTAACTCTGCTTGCATTTATATTAAATAACTGAATTATGGATACATGCATATTGTTACAAAGCAACTTACAACTCTTTATTGCTCTTGGGGGAAGTACTGTGAATGTTTTTCTTCATGACAGACATTGCTTGTGACTCTGACAGCACCTGACAAAGCCACCTCAAAAAAACCTGCTAAATTATGATTAGGCAGATTGTTAGTTATGTATGTGTCAGATGCCATACTGAAAAATGATGCCACTAGCTAATGTTAGACCTGCCTCTATTGCTCGTGGAGTTGAAACACACAAGTACTGATACTGTGTATCTCTGCATGTGTTTGTACAGGAACAGAATTCACTGATACAGTGTCCGGTTGGTTCATATTCAGATGATACATTCTGCAAATTGCATACAAAGTAAGTATCATTATTGCGCAACATTGACTTTCCACAACTTCTTAAATGAAATTTAGACGTTTGTTGTTTTATAATTTGCTTCAGTAGATTTTGTGGTTAAATCAAGATCTTTTCAGAAGAGATACATGTGTAGTTCAACTCGAGTACGTCTCTCTAACAGCTGTGAATCTCTTGGCAAAATAACCATCAGGGAAGGAACCGACACGACTGATGCGGAGTGCAGCAATGGAGCACCTTCTTATTTATTACCACTCATTCTGGCTGTGTGTGTGCTGGTGTTATTCATAACTCTGATTATTGTCAAGAAAATAAACTGCAAATATGCTGGAGTAAATTGAGTTACAAACCAAATGATCTAAACTATGTGTCCCATCCTTCTTCATGTTCAATCCAGCTGCTCAACCATCAGACCAAGCTATATTTACTCACTTAACTTTGTATAATTGTCAAGCGAAATATATTCTTTTTAAAACAGACCTTATAATAATCTTCAGTCATGCTTCTTGACCTACAGAAGCCATTGTTGCCAAGCATGATTTTAAACGAGCACATTCAATTAAATGATTGAATGTATCTATCAGACTCATTTTTTGTTTGTTTTTCGTCTGATTTTCCCTCTTTTCATCATGTACTGTAGCTCATCTTTCAAAACTTTCAACAGCATGCACTTGGGAATTAACAGGCCTTCCAAAAACAAACCCTCTCAAAATGAAAGCAGATCATGAGTTTAAAACCAGACGCAAAAACAATCCCGTTTGTGTTTTTTCTTCCCCACCCTTCATAGACATGTACAAAGAAACTCAGATAGCTCACTAAAGACAGTTCACTTAAACTACTCAAATTAACAAATTAGCACAAATAGCTCTCGTTTCCTCATACGATTGTGTTCCCGTCCTTTATTTGGTTTATTAATAATACCTCAGGAGTTAATCTGTGATGACATTTAGAGGAATCAGTACGAAGTGTCTTTTAAATAATAACATCTTTTATTGATGAAGTAATGTAGTCTTTTGCAATCCTATGATAAAAACAAACAAAACAGTTCGTTAGTAAATGGCTGTTTTCCTTCCCTCTCATGTGATCACCATGTATTTCAATTCAATTCATTTCAAATGTTATAGGCCTACTTCATCTTTGCTAGGAATTCATTTGTTTTTGTAATGTATTAATTATCACGGGCTATAATAAAAAAACAAGTAGGCCGATACTAATACTAACAGCATATACATTTGGTTTGAATATATTTATTAGACTATAAATATGTGGCTCTCTAGATCTCGCAGCGCTGTGCAAATAAATATGCAAACCATGCTCCTGAATTTGGGTGGAAAAAAGCACCTCTCAAGCAATCAGACCATGTATGAAACAAATAATTATGCTTAAGTTATTAAACACTGGTGATGTAGCTGTGAAACACTGTGTCTGCATCATATCCATAACCTTCAGTAACTGCTGATTCTGGACAAAAATATTCAGACCGTGAAGAAGGTGTGTGTGATGTCACTGCTGTTTTCAAGTTTATTCATGTTTGTTCATGTAATGCACAATTTTGTCAGCCAAACACCTTAAAATAAAATATTTACTTGAAATATCTCTTTGGAAGTTAATATTTCAATAATTTAACACATTTGCATGTTTGATCACATCGACTGTCAAACAAATTAAATATTTCTATTTTTAGTGATTGCTTATATTTCAAGAATCTCTTTTCTCAGAATTTTGGAGTAGGCCTGAATCTACAGGTAACAAGATTTTTAAGCAATTTTTAATGTTTTGGAAACATACTTTGTCATACTGCAACTAGACCGTCCGTCCGATTCACATGAGATTTGTGTAACATTAATAGAAAAAGTTAACAAAAAGAATTTTGATAATCCACTTTATCTGGCAAGTTTGAGCGAGTATATATTTTCTGGATGTGGCCCATGATGACTTTTAGCCCTGTATGTTGGGAATCCAGCGTCCAAACCTCACAAAACTACATACACATGGACACTAAGACAATCTTAAGATGCACACCAAATTTCATCCATTTTCAAAGCTTGTAGCCACTATAGTTGAAGAAACTGTGATCAAGAAAACTGAAAGTTGCAACCAAATGTTTATGTAATTTTCGGCAATTTTCAAAATTCCTGTTCTTCCTTCTCTGCAATTTTCAAAGTCATGTTATTCCTTTTGCCATGTGTTTGGACTCCATTAATTGCAACTTACACTATGTTTTTGGTTTTGGTTGTATGGTTTATTTCTCTAACAAACAGAAGCTCAGTGGTTTTTCAAATGCTGGGTTCATCGCAGAAAACATACCACTTTGCTCAAGAGTTACATTAAAAACACTAATATGATTTCACTGGCACATTCATACATGCAGTAACTGAATTTTGTATTGAAAGTAAAGAACATGGTCACACATTTCCAGCTCTCAGAATCATTCAGTGATGGTGATGCTTCATTGCGGTGGACCTTACCCTGCTGTAGGAAACTACAGCTTGCACAATCCTCCTGGTTTGTGCATTAAACGGCTGGTCCTGTGTGCTTTTATTGGACTGTGAGGCTCTGGAGGGGAGCCTGGAGTCTCTGTGAGTCCAGGGTTAATCTGTAGGCCAGATCAAAGGGTCACCTCCACAGATAAAGCCTGGCCCGTCAGCTTGTCCCCGCTATCTGCAAATGGTTAAACACAGTGTGATTGACTATGTTCAGCCTGGAAGAGAACAGAGGAACCAATGCATCTTCACACAGCAAGCCTGAACACGTAAAAGCACAAGAGACATTTGAGAGCCGCAGCAGAGGGTAAGATTTGCAATGGATAACAGCTCATTTGGGTCTGTTCCTCACACAAAGCCATCATGTGAAGCTAAAAATCATCTGTGGAGTCTGTGAAAGTAGATTTCTTTAAAGATCCGCCATCACACTCATGTATGTGACTGCTGCTTCGCTTTTGGTCTTTCTTTGGTTTTGAGCTTTGCCACACAGGACGCAGCATGCCTGCCGAGGGATTTGGCGGATCGGGATGACCTGCGTTAATCCAGAGAGTCTACAGCATTGTGTCGTCTGCAATGGTGTGACTGTCGGCGTCCTTCATTAGGAAGCCCAGATCAGCCTCACACGCACACACACTCATGGGACGAGACCCCCTTATCATTATCCCGTCACTCCTGTCAAACATACAAGCATTTACCACACACAGACATACTATCTATTTCATCTATTTCTGCGACTCCACCTGTGTGTTTCCTGCAGGAGCCTCTGAGCTCATGCAATTTGTAGGAATGCTTAATTTTGCTACCTCTGGGCTGTTATTGGTGCCGGAAATCAGACTCATCATCGCCACTGAAATGAAATAAACATCAGGTTATGGTGTATAGAATGACGCAGTGACATCAGGAAGTAAAGACTGTTTATAATGCAGAGAGTCAATTCAGCATAACAAATGGCAGCATGTGTTTAGGCTGAACAGTTCCGTTTCAAGCGTTTAAATAATAAAAAACAGCAAGCAAATAGTGCCATTTGTAACCCATGAAGTAATTAGTCGAACACTGAACTTAGCCACATTTTAGATGATTTAATTTTGCTTAGGGTGTAATGCAAAAGAACAAAAACATTTTAGATTTCCTACATGATTTTTATTCACTGGAATATCAGCCAACACCAATCATCGTTACATTAGTGCACATCTGCTTTGTTCTTTTACAGTCTTTATCTGTGTTTCATTATTTTCACACTTATATTCAAGCTAAACTGATCTGTTGATTCAACAGCCACTTTTGCGCTGAGCTTCAACCCTGTAATGTTAAATCCCAAAGCAGTGAAAACATGATCAGCAAAAAAATTGTTTTTTAAGGTATGGAGGTTATTCTTATCTAATAATAATTTAAAATAACTAAATTAAAAATATAATTTAATAATTTAATTTTTTATAATTTAATAATTAAAAATATATAATAAATACGTTTTTAAAAAATGAATGTAAAAAAGATCTGATTTTGTAAAAAAAAAAAAAAAAGAAAACACATTATTACTGTCTATTTTTTTTTTTAAAGGTAGAAATTGCCTTTGTTAATGACTGTGGTTTATGTGCTTGCAGAGAAGGTGTATGTTCAGCTTTTTACTTGTGATGATCTCAGCAGATCTCAGAACAAATAGGGTGAAGGTTCTGGAAAGTGACTATGTATCTGTTATCTATTACTGTCTGTTAATGAGGAAGGAAACATAGACTTGTAAGAGAGGAGGAAGGCCAACAGAGAAATGACTAAAGCTTGGAAGAGAAATTAGACAATTCAGACAGGAAGGGTCTGATTTTACTGATGTTATAAAGCGAAACCTGTAGGTCCAGGCCGTTGTTGAGATTCTGTAGTTCAACTGGCCATCAAGCCCAGGTTCTCTGCTGTCCTGGTTGGCATTAGTATTTTGAAACCCAATTGTATAGTCATATTGTGTTCAATTAATAAGTTAGCTGGATCTCCAAGGTCTGACTTCTGAGATGAAGATGGCATACTTCATCCAGATGTCTGAAAAGTATAGGCAGAGATACAAAATGAAACGATGGGATCATAAGGTTGAAAAAACAGACAGAGCCGAATATTGTCTGCACAGAAGTACTACAATATGCCGTTATGATCGTGCCCATTGAGTTTGTGTAAATGGAGAAAAGAAAAGGACCGAGCACTGAACCTTGAGGTGCCCCAGTGATTAGCAAAAAGTCTAGTGCAGGGTTCCTCGATAGAAAACCCAAACCTGTATGAGTTTCTTTCTTCTGCTGAACACAAAAAAAGAAGAATGAATTTTGAAGAATGTGTGTAACCAAACAGGTTTGGAACAACTTGAGAGTGAGTAAATGATTAGAGAATTTCATTTTTGGATGAACTATCCCTTTAATGCTGAACAGATCGATACTGTTGTTTGAATGTAAGATATAAACAGGTGCATTTGATTTGGTCTTCAGCTTTTGCTAAAGCACTGGGAATCTGACAGGGAATTTTCCCTGTCTACGGTATGCAGGGGCAGAGTCATGCATGTCATAGAGTTCAAAGTGCACAGGAACAATGGAGGATAATTAAAAGCTTATAGGATAATATGAGCTTGCAGGTTGTCATCCGAGTCAAAAGCAGACACACAACATAGAGTCTGAAAGTCTGTAGTGATCTGTAGCAAAGGTGATTAATGCATATTTATGAGTCACATGCACACAGGCATTTTTGACAATGACTGCAAAACATAAAGTAATATTTTAAGTTTCATCAGCTTTTACTGTATAAAAATTATTTTAGGAAAATGAAATGACACTTTTTTCCCAACTTCTGTCTTCTTTTACAGTCATGGGCTGTCTAATCATTGCCCGTGTCGAACAGAACTCAAACGTTGTCTAGACTGAGTGGCTAGCGCCAATAATCCCAGCAATATCCAGCAGAATCAATCTGAAACCTGAGATATGCTACAGTTCTCAGGTTGTCTTTGGCTTTCATGGATTAATGTCACAGTTGCCTCTGATCCCCGCTGAAGCTACTCAAAATGCTGCAGACATTGCAAAAACATTGTAAAAAAAAACAGAATTGTAAAAACAGTGACA